TCTGGCTCAACTGCGCAGTGGCTACTCAATGGTCCTCTGCCAGTATCAACATTGACTTGACCCGTCCACACCCGACTGCGGCGCTTTTCCGCATGACTGTCAGCATCCGTTCGCCTGCAGTTCCCGACCAGACACCCACCTCACTCCCGCAGACCTTTGGCTCAAGCCGGGAGAGGTCTCGGCTTTTCTCCGTCTCCTAACTACTCCCAGTTTGGATTCCGGCGGGGATTCCTGATACAATTATGGGCTACGACACACACACCCCAGTGACCGCTTAAGGTCATGGATCCGTGTTCACACTTTTGTTCTGACTGTCCACCCCTAAGCATATCATATTTCGCCCATCTCATATTGTCCCCGCTCTGCCAACAATATTTCCGACCTGTGCTGTCTCCCGTTCTCGGTGTGCATCATGCCTTCTCTTTTGCATGCAAAACAGGTTCGGCCAAGAACGGAAACCTGGACCATCTGCCTGAGGCAGGCCAGGAAACTCTACCCCATCTACCTCCGCTGTCTCCACAGATTTTTAAGGCTGAGCTGGCAGAATAGGATTCCAGACAGAGTAGCCCTCGAAGAAACCGGAATCATCAGTAATTCCGCCCTGCTATAGAAATTTCAACTGCCTTGGAGCGCATACTTCACGACGACTGATAACAAGCGTTCGCCCAAGGGGATGTCTCTACGAATGGTCAGCTAGAAAAGGACTCTACAGAGCCGCCCTGAATAACTCTCTTAAGCCCCAAGGCGGAGATCTTCGGGGTACCACACCTAGGACCGACTGGCATGTAGTAGAGATGTGGAGATGGCAGCAGCAATCTGCTAAGTCAATCTGATCTCAACCTCAAGGCTTTAGCACCAATGCCCTCCAGCATGCTTACTGTCAAGGTTCAGTCCGTGCACCGAAAGGCTTAGTCGGGCATACGTGGACCCGACAAAAGAACAGCCCGGCCACTCTACTTTTTCGGCAAACGACCTTATCGTGACGCCTGCACCGACCGCCACGACTGGTGATCACACTTCGAATGCCACTTCATCGATCCCCGCCATCTCTATCATTCCTACCAGTCTAACGCATCAACGACTACCGCTTCTCCCACTCCCACCATCACTGGGAACACTCCTGAAAACACATCAAATTTGCCCCTTGTCCGTAAGTTAGGCCCGGTTCCGAGTTTTTCCCATTGCTATTACACCTGCGCCTCACGCACCTATGCCGACTTCATCTCAAATGAGACAGTCCGCACCCGCTGCGATCGTATCGCGAGGATATCTCAGGCCACTCAAGAAAAGCTACTGAGGTGGTTTTGGCACGTTCTCCGCCGTGCGCCAAACGAGCTTAGCTATGCTGCCCTCAATCCGGCGACACAGCCCACCTGGAGGCGTCAAAGAGTAGGGCAACTAAAGACTTGGCTCGACACTGTCCGTAAACACATGGAAGCAGTTCTTGGACCTTTTGTCTGCGGTTTCCGCCGTTGGGGGAGAGATTGGGTAGAGCTCTCCAGATCCGCTGCCGCCAATGGTCACACATGTACGAGTAACGTCCGTGGAATCACTGAGGCTGGCTAGATTAGGCATGATCACAGCCGTAACAAGTACAAGAACCTCATACATAGGCCTGATAATTCTCTTGCGAATTCATCGCACGGAGGCCGACGCACTACCGTCAGGAGTCTCGACACACATCCGCCGCATGAACCTATTCGGCCATATACGCATCCATGGAAACTCAAGGGGAAATGAAGTGGGCCCAACCCTATCATAAAAATCTCTCCAACAGACTATACATCGCGCACAAATCCGTCGACCTTCAGCACATACCTCTCACTGTTAATAATCTGACGCGCTTGAATCCGATAGTGCACCAAAAACCCTGGTTAGGAAGGTTTCAATGTGACGGAATAACTCGGACCTCCTCTCACGACGGAGTTCTGGTCTGCTTTGACTCCTTAATGTCGTCTTTATGGCGCTCCCACGCAGTGCGTTCTAAGTCGCCCGCCTGTTCTTTTTTTTAATTTGAAACCATGGTCTTGTGTACGAGGATAATAGCGTTTGCTGGCACACTCAGAATCAAGTTCATGCCGTGCAAGCCACCCGCGCCTTATCTTATCGCGGGTCTTTTTGACTGTCATGAGAGCGGGTCCGGGTGGTAAGGTGATGTGCATATAGATAGGGCGCGAGGCTACAGTCATAATAAATTAATTCACGTGCAAGTTACCGTGCCTGCGACCGCAACGTCGTAGAGCATGCAGTAGACATTGTCGGCAACGATGATCTACTTGGTGGCCGGCCGATAAAATGAGCCCATCTCAATGGTTCCTTCTGAAGACTGCCTGTGGGACACGCTCACGTAAGTGAGATCCAAACGTCCTACCCACTCTTCTGTAAAACCTGGCCTTGTGTGAAGTGTCATTTCATATGTGGCATGCGTAAATGAGCTAGTTAGGTCTGTCAGCCATTTGAAACCAATCCCTGCATCAGATGGCTAGGCGACTCGAATAGTGGATTGCTGCCTAGGAGGAAGTCCCCGTTAACAATGTGACGCGCTTTTAAACCGTCACTGTAAGCCAAAGGCCATAAAGCCAGTAAACTACGAGGCGACTCGGCCCTCTCAGGACAGTGAGTGGGGTTGATGCCTACTCTCTCATGCCACCTCTAGCGCAGGGCCACCGAGTTTAGGCCCGAGCCGACCTCCCTTTGTTTCTGTGAAAACCTGGCCTATCGTGAGCTAACCATACACGCGGCACGCAAACAAAAGTTGTTTAACTCTGTCAGTCACTGCTGCTCATCTTGCCAGCAGCCCCAAGCGAGGAGAGAGTGCGACAGATGGTGCGCAAGTCGGCCATCATTATGAAGTAATCTAGGCACATATCATTGCACCTGCGGTCAGCATGCTGTGGGGCAAGCGGTGTACATCGCCGTTCGCGTCCATCAAATTCACAGTTCGAGGCTACAGACCTTCGTCAACGGGTTCCTGCACAGTTCATTCGCAAGTAATCGACCAGATTCACGCATGATTCGAATGTATAGCCATGCAGGCAAACATGCGAGTCCCAGGAAGACGACTCGATCGCTGGGACAATACTTTAATTCGCCTAACGTTTCGAGATCCGTCGCGGATTCGTCATCAGAGACATAGTCAAAGAGCGGTAGCAGAAACAGGTCAGCTCTTTGACCCTTTAACTATGTCTCTGATGATGAATCCGCGACTAATCTCTAAACGTTAGGCGAATAAAAGTATTGCCCCAGCGATCGAGTCGCCTTCTCTGTACAGCCATAATTCAAACAGGCTATAAATGATTGCAATTAGCTAGTGATAAAAGTGAGGGCTGTTTTGGGCAGCAGGATGTCAGAAACTCCGTCGGTGTTTTTCGTGTTGATTATGCTGTATAACAGGGGTCGGCAACGTATGGCTCACGAGCCAGGTGTGGCTCTTTTGATAATTGCACCTGGCTTTCTCAGATAAAACTGGAATTAGAAACTTTAGATTTTGTGATTTTAGTTCCTCCAAGGAGGATTATTATACTCACATTTAATTGAATGCAATCTTAAAATATATGATATGGGTCTCACTGAAAGATATTCCCAAATATCTGCAAAGACGCGACCTCCTAAACGGCAATTTTATTCTTCCAGAAATCGCGTTTTCTTCTTTACAACAAGAACCTGGGGCACGCATATTTGCTCCTATCCGCCAAATATTTATTTTCTTGGCTCTCTGAGTCAAAAGTTACCGACCTCTGCTGAAGGAGATACGAAGCCGGTCGGTAATGCTGCCACTGTATTGAGATCGCAGATGCCCAACGAAGCCGACACCCGCCGCCAATAACCTGAAATTTCGGACATAAGCGCAGGCATTTGATGCTAGCGTCGCCGGTCCGTCGTACTGCACACCAAGGGCTGTAGTTCGTCATTTGACAACGAAACCCCAGTTAAAATAGAAGATAACTGCACCAGGAGATCGCGATAAGCGAATCGCGGAACAGGTTCAACGAGCTTAAGGGACAGAGTTCATTTTGATGAAAAATTAAACAAGGGTACCTGATAAATTAGTTTTTTATAAGAAATGCATGGGGAAAGCCGCATTGTTAAAACGCTTGCACGCCCCCGCTTACGGTACGACGGTCTAACCATGTTCTCCAAATGGACACCAGTCGGCACCAGATTTCATCTTCCAACTAATCACTTTCCGCCAATGCTTCGTTCCGCTTGGAATATAAACAGTCGTTGTAAGACGCACACCGAATGTTGCATCACCTGCTGAAATTTATCATATTTACAATTTACTTGACATGTTTCCCGCTGAGCAGGTGATGGCAGGTGGTGCACAAGCTTTCATGTCGTTCAAAGCCATTCAGCTAGCGCACACACAGAAAACAAATACTTATCTAGGTCGTGGTCAGGATTACCAAATGTCAACCAAAGCATCCATAACCACTACCACAATCATCAAGAAGAACAATATAATCGTCATCACCATCGTCACTATCAACATTTTAAGCATCAGCACGACCACCATCAACATCAGCAGTGGCATCCACAAAGTCAAAGCCATCCCATAGAAATAGCCAGTAGCACAATCAGCATAGCCGTTAACACGATCAGCGGCACCAAGAAGTACATCATTATAAGGCGTATCAACAGCCCCAGCACCGAAAAACGAAGCACATCATATCCGTAATCGCGCCTTCCACTTGTCACCAAACTACCGACCGCATGGACACACACACTTCACTGGCTGCCTCACTTCAACCTTTCTAAGTTCATCTACCCTATAGCGCATCAGCCGGCAGCCGACGCAATGCGCCCACCCTTCGTTGAAGAAATGAATGCGGTACTATGCACCACGGAGCACAAGCGGGCTGGGCCAATCTTCACTCATTTAACTCACCTTTCCATAAATGCTGGATCCGAATTCCACCGCTACGCCGTTTAACTGCTCTCCGGTACCACCTTCCTGTCACAGAATACTAATATAAGATTTTAGTGGCAAACCAAGCAGTATTCGACGCACCTGCACAACATCTGAACATCAGAAGGCCTCTGCCTACCCTCGAAGGTCTCCTCTAGAAACCTGCCTCGCTATATGCATTAGCCGTTTTGCAAACTATGACCCAGTTTTCATCTGCTGTAGATTCTTACTAACCTTCGCCTAAGGTAGGACTTGCCCAAACTTGTTTCCCTACAAACATACTACGGGACGCCAATGAAGAGTAATATCTACATAGCAGGTAGTGCTATAACATTTCCCCAACTGTACGCATCGGAAGGCGGCACACGCCAACACTTACACGTCCTTTTGCTACAAACATGAAGTGCTGGTCAGGACAAGTTGCTAATTCTATGAATTAGAGTTTAGCAAGTCCACTCGCTACAAGTGGGCTATCATCCGAGCTGCCTAAACAGATACAGCAATAGTCTATAGCCATGCCCTTTATGGTCATCAACAACACGCGGACGCAGACTTCCCTGGTTCTTTGGATGTGATGTGCAGTGTTAACAATCAATGCGCACACCTCGCGGCTGCTGAGGACATTTTACTTTTTGTTGATTCGTCATCCAGTCTATCACGGTTCATTACTCGAGTAACATCATACCAGTACCGGCTGACCTGCATCATGAATGTATCCGGGTCGGACTAGCAATGGAGTTCGGAGGTTGCATGTATACAAACAAGTTGTTAACTTCAGAAACACGCGTGTGATTTAAACGTTAATCCCGCAATAGGTATACCCTCTTCCTTGCAGATTGCAATTTTCAGTGGACGGCCATCAACACTATATGCACCCGAAAGTTTGCCACAGCAGAACACAGTTACAAGCTTGAAGTGGCAGGCTATGTCAGTAAGTAGAAGCCCTCGATTAGATGCCACGAGATCACATCAGCGCTGCATAAATAGGGATAAGACCCTTTTGCTACATGGCTATATAGGGTCGCGAGTCTGACTTCAGAAGTGAACTAGTAAAAGAAGCATGCGACACTTTTGTTATCTAGAAAACTCACACGACGCCATCATAGCCAAAAGAAAATGGAAAATTGGTACAAACAAGACACAGTGTGAATGATTTCGAGGCTTCCACGAAAGAGTATCATCTAACGAAGTTCTTGTGTGCCGCGATAATATACCTAGCGGTCATTCATAATTCCATAAGCTTTGCTCTTTTTATGTTTATTTACAGCAACTTCGTTAAGCTATGACGTCTTACACATAACTCGGGCAGACATCCTACCTACAATAATCATTACAGCTTACATATGACGAAACTTGTTTACGTCTATGGGCCAGCTTATTAACGACACAACCAGCTTCATCCGAACATTGCATGGAATTCTTTACGAGCAGGGTGACCCAGTACGCAGTGATAGCATGCAAGCAAGGTCTTGTAGAGGACGCCTACAAAGTCCAACCGCTGATATGTTAACCACCACCCCCACCACTTGATGCCAAATACGGGAGTCTTGGACTACATAACCGAGCGGCCGCTTTATCGTTCGCTATTAGTATTACGGGTGCTGAAGGTGTTTAAAAACGTGACTCTGTTCCCGTCTAACGCTAGAAAACAAAAGCGGGAATATTTTACTTTCATAGAACGTATGAGGCAGAAACGCCGACACTAAAATTTACTCGGTCAGGACGAACAGGACTCCGGCCGACGAAGACACAAACCCTCAAGTACTACTTTTGTGATTAATGAAAAATTACGACTAAATATTGCGGGAGAATCCGCCGAAATGACAGTTTTAAAGTGTGAAAAACTTTTGAAGGTGAAGTATTACATTCCAATTCTAAGGACTTCGGTTCTCGGAGTACGGTAGCATGGCTCTCATGACGAACAGAGGTGGAATGAGGATAGAGAAAAAGGCCAAGCAAGTTCCAATGCGCTCCTATATAATGATTATAACGGCTTAAGTAACAGCAAACCTTTGTAGAAAGCCTCTTCTTCGAACGCACAACAATAGGTAGGTAACCTCGGCGTAACTGATGCAACGGGGAAGCACAGGACCTAAGAAGCATCATGGC